GTCGTTAGACCATTGACCTCGCATCCCTACAAAGCCGGGACGGAGCACGCCGGGTTCTCACCGGACCAGGCTCGCATATCACCAAGCGCGAAGCGCCGTGAGGACTTCGGCGAGTCGCATGAAGGGTGCGCTGCATCCTGCTAAGGGCGTTCGGCATCTTGTGCTTACCTCCTTGCGTACGGATGACAGCTGCGTATGACTTAATTTATTTTCTGGTGCTTTCACTTCCAGAGACAGTTATAAGCACTGTATAACTGCCTCGAGGGTGCTTGGCCAACTTGACACAACGTGGTGCGATCAGCCCCCTTGCGCGGAGTGAGGCTTCTCAACCCCGCACAACATGATCTACTCGACCACCATTATGGTTATCCCCCCCCCCAAAAAAAAAGTAAAAAAAAAACGGGGGGGCGGATGCGTGTTTTCAAGGGAGAGAGAACCGGAGAGGGGGCCGGAGAGAAGAAGGGGGGAGTCTAGAGCATGAAACAGGGGATGGCGGCAAAGGGGGGAGGTTTGTTTGGTGGACGGCGGTTCGAGTTAAGGACCCATCTCCGCCTGCCTCTTCGGAAGGAAGGCCGGTAAAATCGTCGCTTGGAACGCAGTGAGTGTATACGTACATATGGTATCCAATGAAACCCTTGTCCTTTTTGAAGTTGTCGTCAAGTACCAGATGCGAGTACTGCTGTAGGAGTAAATGGGACAGAGGGAAGCACACACGACGTAAGCTAAAGCCAGCACGAGAGCTTTACACGCACAGGCCCACGGCCACCGAAACACGCGACAGCCACACGGGAGTGGGTACGATGCACACTCCACTCATCAGCACACGCGTAACATCGTTTCTGAGGGGTATCTGACTACCATTGGTGTTATTCCATTGATCGGCGGGTTAGCGCGGTGGATGGATTCAAAACTACAACACAAACACCCCGCACGGCAGCCAGCGGATTCAAACGATCAATCGAATCTTTCATGCGAGTGGCATCTCTATTGCGATAACATCCATCGGTGTCGGCGCTATCCACACCATGTAGGAAAATCAAACACAAGCATAGACTACCTTCAAACACGTGCACACACGCACACACGGCCGACCTCGTAGCGCAGGATGTCCGACTTTTGCCCAAAGTTTTGGGCAGCGTCGTAGGCTCCGCGGTTCTCCAAGCCGAAAGCGTTGATGTCAGCGTCCGTCCACAGCCGCACCTCCCACGGTGTGCTGCTGCTTTTGCTCATTTCATGCCCAAGCCCCTGACTGCTGGGCCCGCTATGTCTCGCCAGCCACGACTCACAAAGGCGGGCGAACGCTGCGGGGAGCGGGCTGCCCAGCCAGATATGGTGAATCTTGAGAGGGATCAGAGGCTCGCCATCTCCGCACCGTACATGGGAGAGCGAAAGGGCGACACGCGGTGGAAGGAGGAATTACGAAGTACGAGAAAGGTGCACTGCTGTGTAGGCGCGCGAATCCTTCGCGATCATCGCGCACGAGGCCCGTCGAAAGACAAGTCCGTTGGTGGTGGTGGTGGTACTTGACTGCTGTTCCTCTCTACCATGGTCAGTGCATGCCAACATGGACGAACTGTCCCCTCTCACCTTCACGGATCGGCCCTGCTAGTCGGTGATGCTTGTTGTAGTTGTCTTGCACCAGTTGCATCCACTCAGCGTCATTCGGGGACCATAGCCCCCATCGTATCTTCGCCCTCGCCGAGAGAATCGAAGCAGCGGCAGCACCACTAGCAGAAGGAGAAGTGGAGGTGGGAGAGGGAGAGAAGCAATCACTGAACACAGGACGAAGTGGAGCCGCTGGACCAACATCATGAGCGCCCTCATCTACATCTACATCCACCGAGAGAGACATTGCCTGTCTCTGTGTCTAGCAGGCTTTGAAATAAATCCCACGATGAAACTGAAGAGGCAGGTTAATTAGCACCAGCACCAGCACCAGCATCAAGCTTCAGCATCCAGCACCAGCAGTACAGCAGCACAGCAGCCACTGCGTGCTCTGTAACCTGTAGCACAGAACAGACCCAAATGCGGCGCAATTGCTGCGTAGCGGCTCCGTGAATCACCTTCTCCCAGTCCTTTGCTGACAGTCTCAACCGATCCAAGACCACACACGACACACGAACGACACTCTTACCCTTGTCGTCAAGGAGGTGCACAAGCATGACGAAGACGCGTTTCACGGCTGCCGATGTGCGGGCAATGGTGCGTGACCTGAGGTCGTCCGTTCTCGGTCTGCGAGTCGCAAATGTCTACGATCTGGACTCCAAGGTATGGGATGCCATTGGACAGGACTGTTGACTTTGTAGGTGTATTTTTGGGCAACAACAGACACTTGCTGTATTACGCTTGGCGCATGGCGCTGTGGAGCGGTGGTGTTCGGGCGCCGCTGCCTGTGCCTGGGTGACGACTGCAAGCACTCTCTGTTCCTTTTTTTTAGCGAGTTCCCATCTCTTACGGCTGTGGCGCAAGGCAGATGACGTGGCCCTTTCGCGCCACAGGCCTGCAGCAGCAGTGGCAAACCGTGTGCCGTTCTAGGCTAGACGTTTGACACAGAGCAAGCGTTGCACAGCATCGCTGAGTATTGACTACAACAGCAGTAGCTCAGGGGCGAGAGCAGGGAGGAAAGCAGAACAAAACTAAACTTCGGCTCCTGGCCGGCAAGAACCGCCCGTGCTTGGTGCTTGATTTTTTTTCCTGGAAGGCACTTGTTGTCGAAAAACGGACAACGGGGCGTTGCTCGGGGCGTTGGTAGGTGTAGCATGCTAGACTACATGAAAGCGGATACAACACCTGGTGTAGACTGTTGTGAATGCAAACAATTGACAACTCGAACGCGTAACTTCATCGGCAAATTGAGGTCAGGCTCATAACTTGAACGGTTGTTCGCTACTGCACTCACTGTATGTTACGTAACGGGTCCTAGGCTGCGTTGTTGTGTAACGGGTCGGCTGCGGAGACGCCTTTGAGAAACAGTGCACCAAATGCATACCACCGCAGTCTTTCTTTGATAATATAGATTTCTACACATGTAGCCTGGATTTATGTATGCTCCAGGGGTTTTCAATCTTTTGACACAAACGCCGCCCAAGGTGTCTACACGTAACAGGTTTTGTCGTGTGTCCATTGGCCGACGGAATCGAGTGATTGATTTACAGTCCAGTCCAGAAAGCATAGCATTACCCCTACAGTAGAGGTAGTGACACAGCAAAAGTGACAGCCTCTCGGAGGCATCCGCCGCAAAACTTTTTAGCGTCCCCCCAGACCCTTGCACTGCGGCACTGCGCCGACGGCACTGCGCCGACGTCTTGCCCTTTTGCATTGCCGTATACTTCAAGTATATAACCAGCCAACTCGTCGCGCGCTGCTGTTTTTCAAGCAGGGAAGTCACCGTCCGAAAGGGCCAAGCTTGTAGCCTGCTGCTTACGCAGTTTTAACTGTACAAGTGTCTGTTTATGGTTGTTCTCGATAGGTGTTTGTCTCCGATCGTGATATACCCCAAGCCTCGCACCGTGCAGATGTACCACGACCTTTCGTGNNNNCCTGTCTCATGCCCCCCCCCCCCGCCGTTTGGGCATATTTCGTGGCTTGCTCGCTCTGTAGACGTTCCTACTAAAGCTTGCCAGTCCAGGACAGGAGAAGGCGATGCTGCTGCTGGAGTCCGGGGTGCGCTTCCACACGACAAAGTGAGAAAGTCTACGCGAGGGGGGCGAGCATCCGGGAGATCGGCATCCCTATAAAGCTGCAGTTGCACCAATCGTGTACTAGGTTTATTTCGGTCTTGTGGGTTATTGTATCTCTTTTTGTTGCGTCTTGTGGGCGTTTGTGTCGATGTATATTGCATGGTGTCTTTTGCGAAGTCTCCTGTGGCTCTGTTATGGTTATGTGCTCGATGGTGAAGCACTGCGGGGCAGCGGCAGCACCCAACGCGTGGAGAGAACTTTTACCATCATTGTGGCTCTCCGGCTGTCCATTGTCCTCGTTTCCCCGCCCGGCGGTACTCTCTCTCGTGACCCGTTCCTGCAGTACCCCGCTTCTTGGAAGGGGCCTCTCCGCCTCTGTGTCCTCCCGACGACCCCCCCCCCCCCC